TGGGTTCGTAGCTATCGGGGGGGGGGGGACGTGCAGATCTATCCTCACAGAGGAGGGAGAGCTTATACCTGAAGGGGGGCTCTGCAACTTCCCTCGCTGCTTCTTGCTCTGACTGAGGGCTGCTTGGAGCCAGGGGTGGGGCTTGTTGCATGTGCCCACCCCATGACCTCTTTACTGTCGGAGCTCCGCCCCTGTGCGCTCCTGCAGGAAATGACCCCTGCCTTAAGGACCTAAGAACCTAAGAGAAGCTAATGTTGGATCAGTCCAATGGCCCATCCAGTCCAACACTCTACTTCTGCTGTAGAAGGTCCCACGGGGCCCTGATGTCATCCGGGAGCTCGTTCCACCAGTAACGGGCCACCGCAGAAAAGGCCCTGGCCCTCGTTGCGGCCAGCCTGGCTTCTTTAGGGCCCGGGAGAACCAGGCGGTTTTGGGATGCCAATCTTAGTGCTCCCTGGGCACCTCTGACCCTCGGGTTGTACCTTGGCTTGGGTTCTCTGGTTTTACACTTGTTAGGATTGCAACCGTGTCCCTCTTTGGTTGGCTTGGACGACTCTCTGGTTCGACAGCGGGTTCCGTTCTCAGGTGGAACGCTTGTCGTGTTAGGGTTGCCTCATTGTCCCGCGGTTCTGTCTGGATTCCCTGGTTCCGCATTGGTTCTTTGGGCCAGTTGGTTCTGTCAGCTTTGAGAAGTGTTTGGCCGGGGGCCGCTTCGCTTGCTGTCGTGTCTCTGGCTGTTCCTTGGCCTGGAGAAAGCGTGGAAACGCCTCTCCAGCAAGCAGTGGAGGGTGGCCGGTGGCACCTTGTTCAGGGACCCGTAGAATTGGTCTCGGTCCAATTCACTTGGAATTTGGGGGTTAGTTAAAGGACAGGCACAAGCAGCTTCTGTACAATTTTGGCGCAATGGGGAAAAACAGCCCCTCCTGCCCTCCGGAATGATTCCCCCTAGGGAATATCGGAGCTGCATAATCTCAGAGTCCTGGGGAATAGATAAATAAAACTTGGATGCAAATACCAAACTGGCATTGGAAACCTGGAATGCCAGTATTTGCAGCTCCCTGATATCTGGATCGGGAAAGTCCCCTACAACTGATCCATTTGGCTGGAGGAAGAAGAAGAAGAGGTTGGATTTATACCCCGCCCTTCACTCGGAGTCTCAGAGCGGCTTACAAACTCCTTTCCCTTCCCCTCCCCACAACAGATACCCTGTGAGGCAGGTGGGGCCGAGAGAGCTCTGACACAACTGTCCTTGAGAGAACAGCTCTGACAAACCTATGGCTTGCCCAAGGTCATCCAGCAGCTGCAAGTGGCGGAGTGGGGAATCAAACCCGGTTCTCCCAGATTAGAGTCCGCGCACTTAACCACTACACCAAACTGGCTCTCAACTGGAGATGATGGAGTTCGAACCCAGATGCCAAGCAGACGCTCTGCCAGTGAGCCAGAGGTCCTTCCCTAGATATAATACTAAAAAGCAGACCTACAAATGCATAAAAAGCAGGCCTACAAATGCACTGATGGCATCAGTCCATTGCAAAACAAAGACGGCCAACTCCCACGTGAACCTCCCCCACCTCTGCAGTCATCTCCAAGGGCACCTCTTTGGATGCCCTCGCCACCTAGGGCTAGATGAGTGGCGACCTGAGACAGGGCATTCTCAGCGGTGGCACCAAAAATATGGAATTTCCCTCCCCATCTGTCCCCCCTTGATCACTGTCTCCCGCCGTGGGGTGAAAACAATCCCTCACCAACCTTCCTTCCTGTTTGTGTGTTTCATTGTTTATGTGAAATTATCGTATTTAGTTGCTTTTATAAGATGTATTTTTTAAAAGCCTGTTTAATTGGTTTTCATTGTTTGCTGCCTCAGGGACCCCAAGTTGGATAGAAAGGTGACATTAAAATGTTTTAGATAAAATAAAATAATGAGAAGACATAGAATCATAGAATCACCCAGAGCTGGAAGGCTCCATAGAGGCATCTAGTCCAACCCCCTCTGCTCAATGCAGGATCAAGGGGCCCCCTGCCAAGCCTGTGTCCGGCCGCTGCTTCAAGACTGCCGGGGAGGGGGAGCTCACCACCTCCCCAGGAAGCCGATTCCACTGTGGCACAACTCTGACTGTCAAAAAGATTTTCCTGCTATCCAGCCGGTACCTTCCCGCCCTTAATGTAAACCCATTCTTGCGAGTCCTCTCCTCCGCTGCCAACCGGAACAGCTCCCTGCCCTCCTCTAAGGGACACAGCCCTTCAAAGACTTCAAAGACTAAAGGGACAACCCGGAAAACCTACAACAGCGAAAGCCCTTCAAAGACTTCCAAGAGAGCCATCAGACTGAGCCCTACGAGGAAAGGCTGAGTGCCTTGGGAATATTTAGTTTGGAGATCTCCTTCTTTGGAGGTTTTCAAACAGGCTAGATGGCCATCTGACAGCAATGCGGATTCTGTGAACTTAGGCAGCTCATGAGAGGGAGGGCAGGAAGGGTTGCCTCAGTGCTTAGTTCTTGCGGCCCTTTCTTACATGCCCAAGGAAATGCTGATGGCCACTTTGGGGACAGGAAGCAATTTTTCCTCAGGCCGGTTTGGCTGGAGATCCTGGAGGTTATTTGTCATCTTCTGGGTGTGGAACAGCGGTCACTGCGGGTGTGGAGGGGGAGGTATTTGTGAATTTCCTGCATTGTGCAGGGGGTTGGACTAGATGACTCTCGAGGTCCCTTCCAACTCTATGATTCTGTGTCCCCTCTCAACATCCTCTTCCTCAGACTGAACCTTACCAAGTCCCTCAGACTGAACCTTCCCAAGTCCCTCCGCCTTTCCTCTCCCGGCCCCCGATCATCCTCATCACTCCCCTCTGCACATTCTGTCCACATCCTTTTCCAAGTCCGTCCAGAGTAGTTTATAAACTCCAGGTGCTCGGGAGAGCTTCCATCCCAAGTACCTCGCCCTGATTCCCCTTGACAGTTCCTTACCGGCAACGGCCGTGTCCGAAGCAAGGAGACTCCCGTCATTTGTTTGGGGGCCGATGTGGGATCTGCTGTCAGGCAGCGGCTGCATGAATGTTTGATGCACCCGATAATTATTCATGGTGGTGACTCTGCAGGCCACCTTTAAGCACGTGACATCTGGCCTTGGCCAGACCGCGGGGTCCAGCTGTGAGCAGTTTAGCTTTTCGCTCCCCTCTAACTGCCTGTAATCAGAAGGGACAGCTGGATGGGCCCGGACGGGGCTTTTCCCTCCCCGCCCAGCCAGGCTTGGTCACAGGTCTCCCCGCGATAAGATCCGGCAGTGCTTCATGGTTTTGCCCGAGCACCTCACCTACCTCCCACGGAGGTGCCACTCTAATTAGAATGTGCAAAGAAAGGGCTGGCGGTGTTGCACATTCCTGTCAGTCAGGTTTTGCTTTTGCAAAACTTAAATCCGGAGTCGGCTCTCGCTGGAAAGCAGGGCCCCTTGCCATGCTGATTGGGCTGCCTGCTCATGCCGCTCAAAACACATCCCCCGGAAGCAGGACATTTGTAAGGGAGGGCACTCTTCGGGCTCCCCAAAGCAGAGCGTCAGACATGACCGCTCTGTTTTCATAACCTCCTATAGGCGGTAAAGGAAAAGAATCCAGGGCTGTGTCCTGCGATTCGTATATAAGTGTCAAGTTATTTATCCAACTGTCAAGTAATAGTAAACACTCCAGTCCAACGCTCTGTGTCACACAGTCATAGGATTGCCATCCCCCCCATGGGGGAGGGTTCCCCACTTTCGGGGACCTCAATACGTCACCGGCCACCTGGCCAGTGGGGGAGCCCTGCCCCCAAAGAGCCTCGTTGCGCCGACATGCCCACCACGATGACAACACCCAGAGGTGATATCATTGCACCAGGCACGTCACACTGGGGGACAGTGTAGCACTTGGATAAAAACTCTATAGCGACCATAGATTTTTTTTGGCCAAATGCTAGAGCATCCCCTTCCGGGTGATGTCATTGCGGTGTGCATGCTTTACGCACATGCCAGAATCTCCAAGGACCCAGGCTGGAGCCCCATACCAGCAGCCAGGTGAAACCTGGCAACCCTACAGAGTGGCCAAAACCCAGGGGCCATCAGGAGGTCCACCAGCGGGGCCAGAGCTCCAGAAGCCCTCCCACTGTTGCCCCCCCAAGCACCAAGAACACAGAGCATCACTGCCCCAGACATAAGAACATAAGAGAAGCCATGTTGGATCAGGCCAGTGGTCCATCCAGTCCAACACTCTGTGTCACACAGTGGCCAAAAACACCAGGTGCCATCAGGAGGTCCACCAGCAGGGCCAGAGCTCCAGAAGCCCTCCCACTGTTGCCCCCCTCCCCAAGCACCAAGAACACAGAGCATCACCGCTTCTTCCTGAAATGTTGAAGTGTTACTATTCGGGTTAAGCGTAACCTCACTCTCCTGACATTTTGTGGCCCCCGCATCAGCCATTTTCTGGTTTGCTCCACCTTTCGCGGCAACCATTTTGTGGCTGCGCTCACCATCCCAAGCTAGAATGCCGGATGCGCCCACAGGCTCAAGAGATCGGGGACTCCAGCCGTCGGCACTCCGCTTTCCTTTTCGTTTTTCAGCATCTGCGGAAACTTTCAAAGCTACTTTTTAATTTGTTTTAAACAGGCAACCTGGATAAGCACGTGGAGCTTGAAAACCTGGTGGCCCGGTTCCTGGGCGTTGAAGCAGCGATGGCGTTTGGCATGGGCTTCGCGACAAATTCTATGAACATTCCGGCACTGGTTGGAAAGGTGAGAAAACCTCTTGTGGTCACTGGCTTTCTCCGACCCTGGAGGCATCCTTGGGGAGGGGGGGGGTCTGTTTTCACATTAGGAGGAGAGATTAGCGGTGCTGATCATTTGGTAAAATGGGGTGGGGGCTGTACGCTGCTCTCCGGGTCTCACAGGTTTCTGCAAAAAAATAATGATAATCCCGTCTCACACAGTGGCCAGCCAGTTCCTCTGGACAGCCAACAGCAGGACATAGAGGCCGAGGCCTGATTTTTCCTCCTGGCTCTGGGATTCAGAGGATTAATGCCTCTGAATGTGGAGGTTCCTTTTAGCCCCATAGCTCGTGGCCAATGGTACACCTCTCCTCCGTGAATCTGTCTCATCGCCTTTTCAAGCCGCTTATTCCTGTGGCCATCACTACATCACTCTGGCAGGGAATTCCACATTTTAGTCTCACACAGTGGCCAGCCAGTTCCTCTGGACACCCAACAGCAGGACATAGAGGCCGAGGCCTGATTTTTCCTCCTGGCTCTGGGATTCAGAGGATTAATGCCTCTGAATGTGGAGGTTCCTTTTAGCCCCATAGCTAGTGGCCAATGGTACACCTCTCCTCCGTGAATCTGTCTCATCGCCTTTTCAAGCCGCTTATTCCTGTGGCCATCACTGCATCCTCTGGCAGGGAATTCCACATTTTAATCCCTCGCTGTATAAAGTAGTGTTTCCTTATATCCATCTTGAACCTACTGCCCATCAGCTTCACTGGAGGCCCTCGAGTTCTAGTATTTTGAGAAATGCCTGAATCACATCTCCCCTTAATCATGTCTTTTTCTCAACTGAGACGTCCCAGAGACTCTTCAGCCGTTCCTCAAAGGGAAGGTGCTCCAACCCCCTCATCATCTTGGTTGTTCTCCTCTGTACTTTTTCCAGCTCTGCAAGGTCCTTTTGGAGATATGGTGACCAGAACTGTACACAGTGTTCCAAATGAGGCCGCACCATAGATCTATACAGGGGTGTCACGGCTCAGGTGGGGAGTCACCTGACGCTGCCACCACTCTGGATTTAGGTTCCCTTGAGAAGGTAGACTACTCACCCTTCCCTCAGGTCTTTTCCCCACAGCAGCCTTCCTTCTGGCTCTGCCCTCTGGGAAGAAGAACAGCTTTCCCTGCTGCTCCAGATCTTTTATTCCAAGCCCTCCTCTTTTCCTATTGGTCAGTTTTGGCTCCAAAACCTCTCAGGGGCTTCTGGGAGTTGTAGGCCCAGCCTCGCCTACTGCTAGCCAGGCTCCCTGGGCCTAGTAGGCCTCTGGTGGCACAGCCCAGATCATGACAAGGGGCATTACAATATCGGCCATTTTTTCTCAATCCCTTTCTTAATAACCTGTAACATAAAGTTTGCTGCAGCACGCTGGGTTGACACTTTCATTGAGCTCGCCTTTTCCCTCTCTCCGTTGCAGCAAGTCCAGACCCCATGAGCCTACGCTTGAAGTTGGGATTTTTTTGTCCCTATGTGCATCACCTTACAGTTGTTCCATTACCGCCCCTCCCTTGTCTGCTGTGGGGCAGTTCAAGGAAAATTCAACATCTCCCTCCGGCGCCCTTTCAGTGGATTATGGCCCATGAAAACCTGTGCTACGATAAACGCATTAGTCTTAACACTAAGAGCCAGTTTGGTGTAGTGGTTAAGAGTGCGGACTCTAATCTGGGAGAACCAGGTTTGATTCCCCACTCCTCCATATGCAGCTGCTGGTGTGACCTTGGGTCAGCCACAAGTTCTCTCAGAGCTGTTCTCTCAAGGGCAGTCCTCGAAAGAGCTCTCTCAGCCCCACCTACCTCCCAGGGTGTCTGTTGGGGGGAGGGGAAGGGGAAGGAGTTTGTAAGCCGCTCTGAGACTCCGAGTGAAGGGTGGGGTATAAATCCAATCTCCTCCTCCTCCTCCTCCTCCTCCTCCTCTTCTTTCTGACTTTGCTGCAACAGATTAACACAGCTGGTTGAATTTGTTCCTTCAACTAGTATCCCAGTAAATCCCAAAATGTTCTAGCAGGCACTGAGATGCCCATAAACTCTTGTTTTAATATGTAATAACCAGCCCAGCGTTTGTCCTCGCCCGTAACAAGTTTTCCAGGTGTACCTTGCAGTATAATGGCAAGGCAGTGGGGAAAGGCATAGATGAAGTAAAGAAATAATAAATAGCTGAAGACGGGGGGGGGGCGATAAATGGTAGGTCGTATGGTTGGTGGGTGGGAAGGAAAGAAGGTAGTAAGGAACGGTGAGGATATGGGGATTGACAGGAGGAGAGAAAGAGGAAATAGCATAGGGGAGGGGATGCAGGGGAAATGAGGTTAAAAAAAACCCCTAGCCCTTGAAAGTTCCTCACCGTCCAGCTGAGCCACGGATTTCCTGGGTAGAAGCTGCCAGGCAGAGGGAAGGAGGGAAAGCTGAAGACAAGGAGGCAGATGACCAAGCTGGGCGGCCGCGTCAGTCTGTCCGTAGCAGCAGAAAAGAGCAAGACTCCAGCAGCACCTGAAAGACGAACACAATTGGTGGGCAGGGGAGGAGCTCTCGTGACCAGACTGTATAGGGTTTTGAAGGTCAGAAGAAGCGAGCCGCGACTCAAGAAAGCTCCTCCCCTGCCACAATTTTTGTTAGTCTGTCAGGTGCTACTAGGTGTTTCATTGTAATGGATGAATCGGGGAGGGGGTGCAGCTCAGCGGTAGAGAAGAAGAAGAGATTGGATTTATACCCCGCCCTTCACTACCCAAGGGAGTCTCAGAGCGGCTCACACTCTCCTTTCCCTTCCCCTCCCCGCAACAGACACCCCGTGAGGGAGGTGGGGCCGAGAGAGCTCTTTCGAAGACTGCTCGTGAGAGAACAGCTCTGAAAGAACTTGGGACTGACCCAAGGCCACACCAGCAGCTGCATGTGGAGGAGTGGGGGATCAAACCCGGTTCTCCCAGATTAGAGTCTGCACTTCTAACCACCACACCGAACTAAAGCATCTGCTTGGCATGCAGAAGGTTCCAGGTTCGATCTCCGGCATCTCCAGTTAGAAGGACCTGGCGGTAGGCGATGTGAAAGACCTCTGCCGGAGACGTTGGCGAGCCACTGTCAGTCTGATGGACCTCGATGGACCGGTGGTCTTGTTTCAGTATGAAGCAGCTTCATGCGTTCACGTGAATACTGTCAAGTGGACCGACATGCTTCTTCTCGTTCATTGTCCTTTGTTATGTGTTCCCACAGGGGTGTCTTATTTTAAGCGATGAGTTGAACCACAGCTCTCTCGTTCTTGGCGCAAGGCTTTCGGGTGCTACGATCAAAATCTTTAAGCACAACAGTGAGTATGAATCGCTGGGTGTGTCGAGCCAGCAAGTGTTGCGGTGAAATGTAACTGAACTGGTATGCACATGCAATGCAGGGTTTTCTTTCACTTATATAGGAATATATCAGGAGATAACATCGGTTTAAAACGTGTGTCAGTGGGGAAGACATTTTTACATGCTCAGTGCTATTATGTGTGTGGGGGGGGGGGGATTCTGTGAACTAGTCATGTTGATGTGTGATTGTCCCTGGGTGCGGTTCCCAGCACTTTCTTTGGCTGAACCTTCACTGACTATTGCCAGTTTGGTGTGGTGGTTAAGTGCGTGGACTCTAATCTGGGAGAACCGGGTTTGATTCCCCACTCCTCCACTCGCAGCTGCTGGGTGACCTTGGGCAAGCCGTAGTTCTGATAAGAGCTGTTCTTGAAAAAGAGCCGTTTCTGTCAGAGCTCTCTCAGCCCCACCCACCTCACAGGGTGTCTGTGGTGTGGAGGGGAGGAGAAGGGAAAGGAGTTTGTCAGCCACTCTGAGACTCCCTTGGGTAGTGAAGGGTGGTATATAAATCCAATCTCCTCCTCCTCCTCTTCTTCTTCTTCTATTAGCTACAATTTTGGAGGGAGCGAAGAACGGATCACCGACATCCGTGCACTTTGTACCGCCAAACTCCTGTTACTTCATACTGCTAAATCACTGAACCAATTTCATTTGCAAAGAGTAGTTACGATTCTGTACTCCGTTATAGCTAGTGGGCATACTGACACACACACCCCATGGCTTTCTTGACCCTCATTGTGCCAACTGCTGTTTTCCAAGTAAATTCATAGACCTAACACAGTTCCTCTGATATGGATTCTCCTAGATTTGAATAATCTGGTTCATGGTATATACTCCTAAATGACTGGTCTTCCCCAGTAACTTGGTTAGCCAAGCAGAAACCCAAGGAAAGCCTTCACCAAATGGTTTTCAGTGGGCTGCAATGCTGGTCCTGGGATTCCTTTTTCTGACATAGTTCAGAGCAGGAAGCGTGTGTGAGAACCAGTCTGGTGTAGCGGTTAGAAGCACGGACTCTAATCTGGGAGAGCTGGGTTTGATTCCCCACTCCTCCACTTGCACCTGCTGGTTTGACTTTGGGTCAGTCACAGTTCTTCTCCTCCTCCTCCTCCTCCTCTTTCTTCTCCTTCTCCTCCTCCTCCTCCCTCTCTTTCTTCTCCTCCTCCTCCTCCTCCTCTTTCTTCTCCTTCTCCTCCTCCTCCTCCCTCTCTTTCTTCTCCTCCTCCTCCTCCTCCTCTTTCTTCTCCTTCTCCTCCTCCTCCTCCCTCTCTTTCTTCTCCTCCTCCTCCTCCTCCTCTTTCTTCTCCTTCTCCTCCTCCTCCTCCCTCTCTTTCTTCTCCTCCTCCTCCTCCTCCTCTTTCTTCTCCTTCTCCTCCTCCTCCTCCCTCTCTTTCTTCTCCTCCTCCTCCTCCTCCTCCTCCTCCTTCTTCTTCTCCTCCTTCTCCTCCTTCTTCTTCGCCTTCTTCTCCTCCTTCTATTTCTTCTCTCCTTCTCTTTCTTCTCCTTCTCCTCCTCCTCCTCCTCCTTCTCTTTCTTCTCCTCCTCCTCCTCCTCCTCTTTCTTCTCCTTCTCCTCCTCCTCCTCCCTCTCTTTCTTCTCCTCCTCCTCCTCCTCCTCCTTCATCATCATTATGGCAACGGTTTCTTTATTGGTTCTTTCTTGTAATCAGGCTCGGGCAATCATTTGTGAACTGATAATTTAAAACATCTGTACAAAGGGCTAAATTGAAAGTGACCTAAACAAGCATGTTCGAAAACTATATAATACACTGGCTCGCTGACACATAAAGTCCAAACATTTCCTAGTATTCTGTCTGCTGTGACATCAGGTAATTCTGAATGGAAAAATGAGGAGGAGGCTGGATGCGGGAGGGGGGTGTTTCCACCTCAGCCTCGGAGGAGCCCCGAGCACCTGGCCCGTAAATTTGTCAATACTGAGAGAGCCCTGCCCTCCTCTGTGTATTACTGAACGGTTATTTGGTTAATGATTTATTGCCCCCTTAATAATTTTAATTTATCGTCTCCTCGAATCACTGAGCGTTTAGTATAGATTCGTATAGGTATAACGTACCTGCTGGTTAGGAAGAAGAAGAAGAGGAGAGGAGATTGGATTTGTACCCCGCCCTTCACTACCCAAAGGAGTCTCAGAGCGGTTTACAAGCTCCTTTCCATTCCTCTTCCCATAACAGACACCCTGTGAGGTGGGTGGGGCTGAGAGAGCTCTGACAGAAATGGCTCTTTTTCAAGGACAGCTCTTATCAGAACTATGGCTTGCCCAAGGTCATCCAGCAGCTGCGAGTGGAGGAGTGGGGAATCGAACCCGGCTCTCCCAGATTAGAGTCCGCACACTTAACCACGACACCAAACTGGAGTCAGAGAGAAGCTCCCAGGTTCGCCAAAGAGAGATGTATCATTTATTGAAGAAGAAGAAGAAGAAGAAGAAGAAGAAGAAGAAGAAGAAGAAGAAGAAGAAGAAGAAGAAGAAGAAGAAGAAGAAGAAGAAGAAGAGGAGGAGGAGGAGGAGGAGGAGATCGGATTTATACCCAGCCCTTCACTACCCAAAGGAGTCTCAGAGAGGCTTACAAACTCCTTTCCCTTCTTATGACATCACATCCTTACTGAGCTCCCACCTTCATGATCTTCATTCTCAGAGCATAGTTTCCTAGACTAGCCTAGAGTACATGGGATCAGATTCTGATATCAGAGTGTCTCCTTTCTTGCAGTGTCTCCTTTCTGGGATTGCCAGGGGCGGGGGATCCCCCAATTTTGTGGGCAGCTGGCCGGTGAGAGGGAATTGCCCCCCCCCAAGCAGCGGAAGTGACTTCAGCAGGTCGGCGACTTTCGGGAGGGTGACAGTCTGGATTTTGGGCAAAACTCTATGGTCTGATGCCAATTTTACCGTAGAGTTTTGCCCAACGTCTAGCACGTCGCCGCCACCGACGTGCCACCGTCACTTCCGGGTGACGCAGTCACATTGTGTGCAGTGTCACTGTTTGGGGGGAATGGGGGGGGCAAGGTCACTTCCCACTCCTGGAACGTCCCCCCCCCCAATCGTCCCGCCAGCGAGCGAAAGGGACCTAGCAGCACTACACCTTTCTGGCTTCTATTGGTAACATCACTTAAGGTAGAGAGGGTTTTCTTCCCCCACCCCAAAGGGGGGATCCCTCTCATGCGAGAGATGCAAAGTCTGGGGGGGGGGGCGTTCACGGTGCTGAAAACAATCTTCCTTTTTTGAGCCAGGCCCATAGCCAGGATTTCATAATTAAAGTTGTAATTGTGCATAAATTAGTTTGGTCTGGAGCCCTCCTTCCTGAGCTAAGGCAAAAATGTGTGAGCCGGAGGCTAAAGAACTGTGAGATGGCTCACACTAACTCAGCTTAGAGGGAACACTGGTGTAGTGTAGTGTAGCCAGTTTGGTGTAGTGGTTAGGAGCACGGACTCTAATCTGGGAGAACCAGGTTTGATTCCCCCACTCCTCCACATGCAGCTGCTGGTGTGACCTTGGGACGGTTACAAAGTTCTTTCAGAGCTGTTATCTCAAGGGCAGTTCTCGAGAGAGCTCTCTCAGCCCCACCTACCTCACAGGCAATGCTCCGTCTAACCTGGGGAGTCCTGTGAGCAAAAGTTCTACTTTGTGAGCTGCTGGCATTAAGGTTGTGAGTGAGCGATATGGCTGCTGCATAAATCAGTTTGCTCTGGAGCCATGCTTCCTGAACGGAGACAAGAATCTGTGAGCCAGAGGCTAAAAACCTGTGAGCCAGCTCACACCAACTCAGCTTAGGGGGAGCACTGGTGGGGGGCTTGGCAGGACGTCGAGGGGGCCAGGCCCCGAAATGCCCCAGTGTAGCTGCGGGCCTGCTTTGAGCTGTACGGCTTCCTGAAGCCTGCAGTGTTCCCTTATCGTTAAGATATTGCTCTGAGTAATCTTGGGCTTGGAATTTGCAAACTATTAGTCAGACCTAATTGTGTGAGTATAATTACTGTGAGTACATCAGTAATAAAGTTTTCCCAACACATGGCTGATACTTTTAATTCATTTCAATTAATTAGT